CCCTCCTCCTCCTCCCCCCACACGCTCTCCTCCTCCTCCCCTTGATTCCTCCTCCACCTCGCTTCACCTTCCCCCCTCCCTCCCCTTCCCCCACACTCTCTAGCCTCTCCCCCTGCCAGCTCTCCCTCCCTTTCTCACTCTTTCCCTCCTCTCTCTCCCTCCCTTTCTATCTCCCTGCCTCCATCCCACTTCCCTTCTCCCCCCCCTCCAATACCGCCCCTCCCTGCAACACTGACCTGCTTTCGCCTCCTTCCTCCCTCTCCTGCCCCCCTCTCCCCTTCCACCCTCCTGTCCTCCCTGTAACTATAACTTGTCTCCCCTTCCTACCTCCCCTGCCCCTCTCCCTCCCCTCCTCTCCTTCCTCTCCCTCCCTCCCTCCTCTCTCACTTCGCTCCTGTATACCTCACTAGCACACACACACACACACACACACACACACACACACACTGCATGGACTTTAGACGCCCACAACACACAAACATACACACTTCAAACACACAAACACATCCACACAAACAATATCCACACAAACACACACACACACCTCAAACAAAAACACAAACACACAAACTACAAACACACAAACCGACACAGTTCAAACACACAAACTACAGTATATCTCTCCCTGATAATCCGTACATAACTCACACTCCATCTAGCTCCAGGTTACAATCCCGTGACTCACTGCTTGCTAGTATTAAACCCGGACCAGTTACAAGTGGGAGCCTTACGTACGGAACCACCACTTAACACACACTCGTTCGATCCCCCCCTCCTCCCCCTTCTCCTTTCTTTTTCTCTCTCTCTCTCTGTTAGACTTTCTCTTTGTCTGTCTGTCTGTCTGTCTGTCTCTTTAAGTCTTTCTAAGTCTTTCTCTCTCTCCCTCTCTTTATTTCTTATCTTTTCCTTCTCCCCTTTTTCTGTCTGTGTTCAGTCTGTCTCAGCCTTTTCCTCCCTCCCTCCTTCCCTCTTTCTTTCTTTCTTAGCCGTTTCCTCTCTCTCTCTCTCTCTCTCCGTCCCCGATTAAAGAGAGGCGTTCTTGTTATTACCGTACGTATGATCTATCAAGACCTTGGGTTCGAAGACCACTGAATCAACGGGTTCGGGTATCTATCTTCTACAAGGGTTCGGATCCCACCCCAATTCCCTCCTGAAATTGAGAAGAAAAAAATATATCCACGTGATTATTGTGGCTTAATTTTTTTTGTATCAGTTTAATTACTAATGGCTAAATGGCTTTAAATAACACCTTTAATAAAACGTAGGGGGAGAGGAGGGAGGTGAATGAAGGGGGGTGAGGTGGGGGAGGAGGTGAAGGAGGAAGGAAGGGTAAAGAGGAGGAGAGAGGGGGAGGTGGGGTGAGAAGGGAAGAAAGGAGAATGGGGTGGGGGAGGAGGTGAAGGAGGAAGAAGTGGGTAGGCTGGGGGAGGTGGGGAGGAGGTGGGAGGTGAAGAAGGGGTGGAGATGAGATGAGGAGAGATGGAGAAAGAAATGGGAGGAGGAGGTAAAACAGGGGTGAGGAGAAATGGAAGGAGGGGTGGAGAAAATGGAAGGAAGGGGTGGAGAGTGGGATAGATGGAGGGGTGAGGGAGATGTAGAATAATTCTCCTTCATATCTTCCTTCTCCCTCTGTTTTTTCTTAAGTTCCTTCATATTTTATCCTTCTTCCAATTCCTTCTTTTTTCATCTTCTGCTTCTTGTTTTTATCCTTTTTCCTTTCTCATATATTCCTATCCTGCCTCTTGCTATTCCTTTTAATTTCTTCTTATTTTTTCCTCCTCCTTCCTATCTTATTACCATGTCTCTTCCTGTTCCTCTTCATCTTCTTTCTCATCTCTTATTTATCTTCCAACACTGTCTCATCTTCCCAGTTTTATCCATCTTCCTCCTCCTCATTCTCCTGTTATTTCTACAATATATATTCTACAGTGGTCCAGTGCTTCCAGAATTCTACAATGCTCTAATATTTCCAGGATTCCAGGATTCTACAATGGTCCAATATTTCCCAGAATTCTACAATGCTCCAAAATATTTCCAGGATTCCAGAACTCTACAATGGTCCAGTGGTTCCAGAACGAATATCTACAAGGGTCCAGTCTTTCCAGGATGACAATAACATCACCTGTTACCTTACGAATACCTGGAACCCAATTAAGGTAATGTCAACAGCCACGACCGCAGACTAAAACCCCCACAAAGACTCTGTTTATTTTCGTGTGTGTCTGTGTCTGTGTCTGTGTCTGTCTCTGTCTGACCAAAAGCCTGGAACGTTTGAGTCAAGTTTGCTGGTGTTTGTGTCTCTCGCCTGTAGGGTGTGTGTGTGTGTGTGTGTGTGTGTGTGTAGAAATGTAATCCTTCTTACTTTCTCTCTCTCTCTCTCTCTCTCTCTCTCTCTCTCTCTCTCTCTCTCTCCCTCTCTCTCTAAATTATTTCCCTCGTCTGGAATCCATAAGACCAGCGTAAAATATTTTTTTTAATCGAGAATTATACGCAAAGGCCGATAGCGTAATTATTGAAGTGCCAAATGCAGGGGCTGGAGGTAGAGTGTCTGCCGAGAGCTGATTGGTTGGGTGTTTGACCAATCATAATCTTTTCGTTTTCGTTTTCCATGAGGCTATACCGATGTAAACCTAACCTAACCTAACCTGACCTAACGTAACGTAACCTAACCTAACCTGACCTAACGTAACTTAACATAACCTAACCAAACCTAACGGGAAGTAAGATAGTAAAAACCTCACTATTATTTTATAAGTCGGAGGAAAACTATTTGGATTATGGGGAAATAATAGGCCTTTTGTTCCTGGTAATGTATGTATGTATGTATGTATGTATGTATGTATGTATTGTTACGAGTTGGGGATTTAGAATATAGTTAAAAGTCTACCCAGATCCCAACAGGCAACAACAATAAAAAACAAAGACAATCGGACTATAAAAGGGTAGACAAAGGATGGGAGTTTTTGTTGTGTATAATAAAGTACCATAAATTCCTAAACAAAATATTCAGCGTTCTATAATTTACCCTTAACCATACTTAACCTAAACATTAACAGTATATACATATTTATACAACATACAATAATTTTGAAGGAAGTGGACGTGGGAGAGGCAATACAAGATTACAAATACTTAAGTGCGGAGCTGAGATGGCTGAAGAGTAAGGCTGAGTATTGTAGAAGACGGTAGGTAGTCACTGTGCCGTAGGTTTCCAGGATAGGTGATCCTGTGGTCACTTCCTAGAGTGAACTGAACTCTCCTCGAACTCGAGCTAACAAAGAAGACTTTGAGGAAGTGACGCAACAACCAGGACATGGAGAAGGGAAACCCCGGAGTGGTAACTAAGACGAGTCATACTCGTGTTACGTCCCTAGATGGCGTTGCTCGTGGTGCTGGGTAGGTAGATCAGGACAATAGATGGCGTGGTTCGTGGTGCTGGGTAGGTAGATCATGACAATAGATGGCGTTGCTCGTGGTGCTGGGTAGGTAGATCAGGACAATAGATGGCGTTGCTCGTAGTGCTGGGTAGGTAGATCAGGACAATAGATGGCGTGGTTCGTAACAGTATGTATGTGTACGTACTTGTTTTTAATTGCAAGTAAATAAAAAAAAATCAAATCACGAGAAAATATATAGAGAGAAACACAATTAAATGAATGAATAAATTAATAGATTAATGAATAACTAATTAAGGCAACAATACAATTAAAAAAATGCAATAGATAGATCGGTTAATAAATTCTCACGAGGTTTGGGAGTACGTGTGTGTGTGTGTGTGTGTGTGTGTGTGTGTGTGTGCGTGTGCGTGTGTGTGTGTGTGTGTGTGTGTCTGTGTGTGTGTGTGTGTGTGTGTGTGTGTCCATAGATAAATAGATAGATAGACATATAAAGATAGATAGATAGATAGATAGATAGATAGATAGATAGATAGATAGATAGATAGATATTCCCCACAAAATATATACAAAATCTGATCACGTTACTCTATCAATAACAATAACGTGCTGCTCACAAAGTACATTACAGGGATTCATTACGACTGGTAATTACACCCGCATAACAACTCCGGATTATGCTGTGTGTGATTTGGATGCTCTAGCTAGCCATTAACAGTTCACGAGTGGAAATTACGTAGTGTTGTATTTTTTCCTGTAATTAATACACGTGTCGTACCTGTTTGGTGTTATTTCAATACTGTGGATATGTTAGTTAATGTATACAGTGAGAGAGAGAGAGAGAGAGAGAGAGAGAGAGAGAGAGAGTGAGAGAGAGAGTGAGAGAGAGAGTGAGAGAGAGATCATATAATACACTAATATGTCTTTCTTCAATACACAAGCTAGTAGTATGAGAGGTAATACACCTGACGATCTTCACTTCCTTAACTAGAAATCAGGTACCCACTCACAGCTGGGTTGAGTGAGGGTGCCCTGCATAGGAACCAGTAACCCTTAAGACAGGAAGCGAACTCTGTATCTAACGCATTCTTGTTAATAACCATTGAGAATGACGCAGTGAAGCTTTATTCCTAAATTTAATTACATTCTTGTAATTATATTATGCTGGGTTAATATATTATTTTTATTTATTCTCATGTTTCAATTATTTCTCTATCTTTTTTATAATTTATCTTTGATCAAGGAAATAAAATACATGATCTATAATATGATTTTCTTCGTAAATTTTTATGTTTTTAATTTCTGGTAAGACTGGGTCATTAGCCTTAATTAATTCACCTTTTCACCTGTGTCTTATTCGTGTCAGGTATATGTTGTGCACGGGGTGGGGGTAGGGGGTCTCTTGGGTTTTTCATCTCTATAAGTTCTTCTCAGTTCTCTTCCTTCTCTTTTGTTATTCCCATGTCCTTTATTATCTCATTTTATCTCTCCATTTCATATCTCTTCCACAATTATTTCTCATTGAGTTAACCAAAAAACATGAGGTGTTTAGTTTGGTTCAGTCATCCATCAACAACTGTAGCTGGATAATGAATTCTCTTTAACATAACTCCATAACTATTTATTGTAAGAACATACATATAAAAAAGTTGTTGGTGTGTGTGTGTGTGTGTGTGTGTGTGTGTGTGTGTGTGTTGACGCCCAGTGTAACAATAAGTGATTAATGTCAGTGTACAGGTGCCCTCACGCTCTTTGGGGGAGGGGAGGACCTCAGGGACCTCTAGCGGTTGGGTAGCTCAGATCTCACGCCCTTGGGAAGGTCTTAAGCCACCTTCAGCGGCAGGCTAAGTGATGGTGAGGAGAAGGGGAGCGAGGAGTAAGAGGTGGACGGCCCAGCACGGGCTTGAGGTGGGTGTTGCTCCGTCAGTAGTTGAGTGTTGCATCGCTGCCGAGCTCTCTCCTGTAGGGGGACATGAGAGACGTCTCTTATGATGTTGAAGTGTGGTCTATATCTACAGGGCTACATGAGATAGACAGATAGACAGATAGATGGACAGATAGACAGACTCACCGTCCAACACGTGCACCCAGATAGATAGACAGACAGACAGACTCACCGTCCAACACGTGCACCCTGACGGAGGCGGTGATGGTCTCCCCGGCGCTGCACGTATAGTTGCCGGTGTCGGTGACGACGGCGCGGGCGATGTGTAGCCAAGAGCTGAGTCCTGACCCCATCAGTGACGTGTCCACCCTGTAGGGAGACAGGGAGAGTACAGTGTCCACCCTGTAGGGAGACAGGGAGAGTACAGTGTTCACCCTGTAGGGAGACAGGGAGAGTACAGTGTTCACCCTGTAGGGAGACAGGGAGGAAAAAAATTATCAAATTGAACCACGTACCCGACATCTGTCTCAAAAGGAGTCGCCCTCTTCTCTACCAAGCAAAACATTCGAGTGTCAAGGAATAAAATTCAAGCATCTGAAATAATACGACTCCGAATCACCAAATCTCTCAGTCTCGTCGATTCGGTAATATTTTTCGAGCCCATTCAAACATCATGACCAGGATTCGATCTGAGTATCCATGAATTCGAACCAAGTTAAGAAGGAATTTAGTATCTATAGAATTGAATCGGAGTTATTTAATGATTCGAACTTAACACAGTCCCTGAAGATGCAACCTAAAGACTTTGAGCAAATCCCCAACAGATTCAAACTCGATACCAAAGGATTCGAACATGACAAACAAAAAAATAATAATAACGGAATTACATAACAAAAAACAAAATAAATATAACAATCAATAACCCAGACTAAAATACCCAAACAATAACAAAACGGAATGATACCTTTAATCTAACACAATGACGTTATTAACTCAATCACCTCCAGCAAAAAGAAATAAAATATATCCAGCACAATATTATATACACAAACTATCTTACACGGTTGGGTAAGTTTATCTAATACAGCACATTAACTCCTTCTCCTCTATGTAACTACACCACATCCAACACATATCCTCAGATGCGTGTGACAATTGTGAGTGTGACTTCTTCTTCTTTTCTTCTTCTTCTCCTTTCTTCTTCTTCTTCTTTTCTTCTTCTTCTTCTTCTTCTTCTTCTTCTTCTTCTTCTTCTTCTTCTTCTTCTTCTTCTTCTTCTTCTTCTTCTTCTTCTTCTTCTTTTTCTTCTTCTTCTTTTTTCTTCTTCTTCTTTTCTTCTTCTTCTTCCTTTTTCTTCTTCTTCTTTTCTTCTTCTTCTTTTCTTCTTCTTTTTTCTTCTTCTTCTTCTTCTTCTTCTTCTTCTTCTTCTTTAACGGAATCTTGTAGTATATATGTGTGTGAAGTCTCGTCCAGTCTTAGCGAACGAACATGAACGAAAACTAACGAACAAGGAAAGGCGAATGGTCGTTCACGTTTGATTTTATTCGTTTGTTAGATCTGGACACAAAAATTCCCAGATATTCCAGGAAAGTATCGCTGTATGGGTGTTAGTTGTACCTTAAGTGATGGCAAAATGCAACTGTGACCTGGGTAATGTCAACAAAGTATCGGTGACATATACTGACGTCATGAAATTAAACCAATCGCATAGTGGATCCATTTGTTATTCTTTTTTTCTAGACCAATCATATTTTTGTTCTGTGGAATCGTGTGTCGATGTTTGAAATTTGAGTACGTGGGAAGGCCAGTGCTCTCTTGGCTATTCTGAGGACGGGGAGGATTTTGTTCTCTACGATTATAGTGTCATTTGACAAGTGAAAATGAGTTTGAAAATTACTCAGACGATAATGATGATCTATTGAATATTATACTGACTATGGACAAAACGAGACAGAAATTAATGAAGACAGTTGTAGCGGCGTTAGTGTCCGTTGTCAGCCAGCAGTGTTGGAGACGAGGGTAGCACTGCCACCCCCTCCTAACCCTGACCTCCTCCCTCCGTACCCTGACCTCCCTCTCCACCCGGCCCAACTCCGTCCGGCCCTCCCTCCCAGGGCCACTCACTCCTCGTTTATCTCTCACGCCAGGCCAGACATCCTTCCTAACTGTGATCAGGATTTTACTGATGTGCATCCAGCTGTTACTGCACATCATCAAACACATCCTATGACTGCTCTTGACTATGTCGGGTTCTTTTAGGGGAAATGACGTAGTATCAGCGTGTGTGTGTGTGTGTGTGTGTGGACAAATACTACTGCTGTGTACTGTACTATTTTCGTAGTGTCCTCCTGTTTGATCCCACCAAGACCATCTATTTTTTGGGAGGCAAGAACTCGGCATCAGTCACAAGGTACATAACCAATCCACTACTCTGTGCATGATATAATTTCCAGACTTGTGTATTCGTCCATTATACCGCTATGAACATTTTAGTTTACTTTATATGAAATCAAGCTACAAATTATTATTATTTTTATTGGAAATTAAGTTTTATTGGGAGTAAGTGATCGTAGATATATAATTACTGTGCGTGGAGGGATAGTTACAACACTGCGCGGGGAGGAGGAGGGGGGGAGGTTTGTTTACATAGGGGGCGCAGTAAAGAAGGGGTGTTTATTATTATTATTATTATTATTATTATTATTACTATTATTATTACTCTCATTTTCTCCTTGTTCCAATATTTCAAGACTATCAGTGTCCCCCCCTCCATACACTATACGACAAATATTAAAAAAAAAAAATACGGCAGTTGTCTTCGAGGGAAATACAACACAACGCATACAAGCAGAATCGTGTCGGGCCTATAAACGTTTACATCACCTCCTAGACCATACATCCGGGTGGTGAGTGGGTGGAGTGGAGTAGGCGGGACACGTACCTGATGCCTCTCTCGGGCTGGGTGGTGAGTGGGCGGCCGTCCTTGGACCAGCGCACTGGGCGGGTGGGGTGGGCGGGGAGGACCACACACTGAAGACCTACTGTGGAGTCCTCTCGGTAGAAAGCCTCGTTCACCGCCGCCCCTCTAGGGTCACGGCGGGTGGGGTGGGCGGGGAGGACCACACACTGAAGACCTACTGTGGAGTCCTCTCGGTAGAAAGCCTCGTTCACCGCCGCCCCTCTAGGGTCACGAACCTCGATATTCGGAACTGTGGGAGAGAGATACTGTGGGAGAGAGATACTGTGGGAGAGAGGTACTGTGGGAGAGAGGTACTGTGGGAGAGTGATACTGTGGGAGAGTGATACTGTGGGAGAGTGATACTGTGGGGATACTGTGGGAGAGAGAGAGACTGTGGGAGACTGTGAGGTGATGCTGTGGGAGGTGATACTGTGGGAGTGATTCTGTGGGAGAGACTGTGGGGAGAGGTGCTGTGGGGAGAAGAGAGTGAGAGGTGATGCTGTGGGAGGTGTGCTGTGGAGAGGTACTGTGGGAGAGTAATACTGTGGGAGAGTGATACTGTGGGAGAGTGATACTGTGGGAGAGTGATTCTGTGGGAGAGAGATACTGTGGGGGAGAGGTACTGTGGGAGAGTAATACTGTGGGAGAGTGATACTGTGGGAGAGTGATACTGTGGGAGAGTGGTACTGTGGGGAGTAAATCCTCTCTCTCTCTCTCTCTCTGTCTCTCTCTCTCTCTCTCTCACACACACGTAACGATACAAGAGTGGATCCTTTCTGAAATATAAAGCAGAATTAGGTAACAGCCTGGATCAATACCGATCAGGCTTAGGGACGATTGGATCCCTTTATAACTTACCTGTTCAGTGAATCACCTCAGAGGATCAGGTAAATTCATTTTTTTTTTTGTTAAAGAATAAACTTTGGATCATCTTATTGTCTCTGGACGATTTCACGTGCTTACAGTAAAATTAAACTTAGTGGAGAGACAGTTTGAGAAACTGAGAGAAATGGAGAGACTCTGAGAGAATCGTTGAGATATATTTAGGAGACAGGGGGAGATGAGAACCTGAAGTATACTGAGACACACATGTCGGATCTTGGATGAGTGTGTTGAGACTTGACATTCGTAGAGACACCTGAGGACGCTGAGAGACAATGAGAGACAGTGAGAGACACCCACCTGAGACACTGAGGTACACTCGTAGGATCTGGGGCGGATGTGTTGAGATCTGACACTCATAAAGGCCTTCGTCTCTCTTCTGTACGTAACGGATCTGCAGCTTCCAGTTGTCCGGGTACTCGAAGCTGAGTGAGTACCTGTGGGTAGGGTACAGTGGTCAGTGTGTACCTGTGGGTAGGGTACAGTGGTCAGTGTGTACCTGTGGGTAGGGTACAGTGGTCAGTGTGTACCTGTGGGTAGGGTACAGTGGTCAGTGTGTACCTGTGGGTAGGGTACAGTGGTCAGTGTGTACCTGTGGGTAGGGTACAGTGGTCAGTGTGTACCTGTGGGTAGGGTACAGTGGTCAGTGTGTACCTGTGGGTAGGGTACAGTGGTCAGTGTGTACCTGTGGGAGGAGTACACACACACACACACACACACACACACACACACGTTACCATGAAGAACAAAACTCAAATCAAGAACATTTTCTTTTTTCCCGAATATTTAAGATAAATTTGCCAGGTTATGACTGACTGTAGTAACCCACGCGAGAGCCACTTAAGACACAGACCCCACATGTCTCTCTGTCACGTGATGTCTGGTCCACTGTCATAAGATGTCTGGTCAACTGTCATAAGATACCTGGTCCACTATCATGAGATATCTGGTTCACTGTCACGAGGTAAATATTAAAACAAACTACAAAAAAAATAAATTAACTGACTAATGAACAAAATTATTCAGTATCACAAACAACCTTTTCCTAACCCACAAACATCTTGACTACAACAAACGCTCTTAACCTGGAGCTGTGGTAACGTAAAAAATGGTCTTTAACATCTGAGTATAAATAAATATTCCTGTAATTTCGTCTCGTTAAAAGTCAACCCAAATGTCACCTGGCGATTGATTGATATATTCTAATGGTACGTAATTTACAGATGGCTTTGAGTAGGTCAGCCTTGATTAGGTCAGCCTTGAGTAGGTCAGCTTTGATTAGGTCAGCCTTGAGTAGGTCAGCCTCGTTGGTCACCCTCATTAGCTAATACTACAGGAAGAATCGGAGAAATAACGATGGGGAGGTTGTTATTATCTTTAAAAATCTTAGTAGGTGGGAGTCTAAGAAGTTCTTACGTCACTTGGCGAAGATATGGAAAAGTTCAAGAATTACCTTTGAAACGTCATCAGAATAACATCGAGAAACTATCTTGACTAAATACGTTCACTTAGCAGCAGTTAGGAGACAAAATTAACACTGAGACTCTACCTTAACTAGACACGTTCACTTAGCAGCAGTTATTAAACAGTTAAAATACAGAATCTTCATAACTCGGGGTTCAGTCCTTTCAAGACCTCCACGTACACCAGCCAATAGGGTGAGTTAAGACAGTTCTCCACTAACCATCAATACTCCCCAGGAGGTCAAAATGCCCCTAAGACGTTACCAAGGTCACTGAACACGTCATAAACCTGTATGAAACCCATTTTGCACTTAGACCATTTTCTCTCTCAGAAGGATTTATTGTTTTCTATAGAAGTTCACAAAAGGTATTAAATATCACTGGAAGAATATATGACCCCAGAAAATTTAACATGAATTTTATTTTAAGCTGGGAGTGGATGGCAAATTCTCTCTCAATATACCTGGTAATTGTCCAAAATCGGGTCATCTACGTTAAAACGGGCCAAATACACTCATATAATAGGTCATCTAGGCAGCGAATGATACTTATCCAGGGTCATGATGTACTAAAAATGGTCATCAGGTCAATAATACTCCCCCAAAGGTCATGACCCTTCCCCCCCCAAAAAGCGATACTCAACTCTTGTAAGAATTCCACACTCGAAAGCAGAACTGGAGGTTGATTTATCTCCCTAAAGCACTCTCACACTTGTCGCCCAGAAGCAGGTCCTTCGTCGGTGGCTGAAACTTCCACTGCGTCGCCCAGACAATTGATTACAGCCTTGGTGGGCATTTGTTCCATTTTAGTGAGGCGCGTGTAAGTGTACGTGGGATAGGAGGAGAAGTTGTAAGTGTTGTATAAGTGTTTGTATGTGGGGGGGAGCGGAGGAGTTAGTAAATGCTTTATAAGTGTGTGCGAGTATATATGGGGACCTTAAGTGTTTTGTAAGTGTGTGTGTGTGTGTGTGGATGGCGACCAGTGGTGTAATATGTCAGCATGCTCTCCTCGCAAATGAGTGGGCCCGTGTTCGATCCCCGGGCAGGGTGAAACTATAGATAAGTTTCTTTACGCCATTTGCCTATGTCTACCCAGCAGTAATTGGGAACCTGGATATTAATCGATTTGCGGATCGTGTTCCGGGGTAATGGTTAGCCAGTGCAGTTGGCGAGTTGTCCGGTCTTCTCGGACTATTCCTTGAGACTGGGTCATGTAACTCATTAACTGTAAGTGACCCCTGGGCCGGCCATGCTCGTACATGAGAGGCAACCAATTTATGTATGTATGTATGTATGTATGTATGTATGTATGTATGTATGAGCACTCACACAACACATTACCACCACCTTTTTCTATGAACGGACTCACTACCAGTAATAACAGAGAGTCAACAACACAGGCGAGGTAAAGTATCAAAACAATACCTGACCAGCACTCAGGGAAGCACTCTACCACATTACTACACTGACTTATAAAACACATCACTTTCCCCCCAAAAAAAAAACCCTCTCATACACTTACGAAACACTTATAAATGACACACACACACACACACACACACACACACAGACGGAGTATAATAACATAATAAATACTTCATTATTCTCTAACAGACGAGACAGATATTGACTCACCCAAAACCTTTTATATTATGCTCACGGGATACAGTCGTTTACAGTCATCAAGAGAATACAATTAAACATTACACACGGATACATAAACTAGGACACGTAAGATGTTTTAGTGTGTTCTGCGTCCGAAACATCAGTCTTAGCCTCTGCTGCGTCCGAAACATCAGTCTTAGTCTCTGCTTCTCCTCCTTCGTACACCACACTTCAGTAACCTCCTTCAGTACACCTCCTTCAGAAACCCTCCTTCAGCAGCCTCCTTCACCTCCTTATCATCCTGAAGGAGACGTCTCAGGATGCAGGAAGGATTAATGGTTTGTGGCAAGAGATTGGTCCTTCCTTACCTCCTTAACTCAGAGACGTGTGTGTGTGTGTGTGTGTGTGTGTGTAGGGCTTCCATAGTAATTGTTGAAAGTTGCTATCAGGTGTGTTTGGTTAGGTTAGGTTAGGTTAGGTTAGGTTAGGTTAGGTTAGGTTAGGTTAGGTTAGGTTAGGTTAGGTTAGGTTAGGTTAGGTTAGGTTAGGTTTGGTTTGGTTTGGTTTGAATTGTGTTTAGATAGATTAAATATTTTTTCCCTACACATTGACCCCCTTCTCCTTCTTTCCTCCCCATTATCTCTCTCCCTATCTTTCACCCCCATAATCTCCCTCTCCCCCGTCCCCCATCCTTCTCTACAATTCCACTTTCCTTTCCTTCTATCCCTTCCATCCTTCCCCATTCTCTTTCTTCTTCCTCATCTTTTAACCACAATCTTCTTCCTACCTTCCCCCTCCTCTCCCCTCTCACTGTCCCACCCCTCTCCCTCCTCTCCCCTCTCACTGTCCCACCCCTCTCATCCCCTGCCCCCATCAGTCTCCCACCCCTCCTCCTCAATCCCCCACCCCCCTCCCCCACATCTGTCTCCATTTTTCATTCATTTTGTCTGTGTTCGTAACTTTCTCACTTACATTTTCCTTCACCCTATTCTTCATCACAGCCCCCTGCCCCCCTTTTGTCCCCACCCCATATCCGTCGTCCCCCACCTCTCCTCTCTTCACCCCCCCCCACCTCCTTGAAAGAATTGCATCCCATTTTTCCTTTTAAACACAAACTATCGATGTTTTTTTCTCCTTTACGTGATATTAAAAGACGGATGAGATAAGAGGTAGGAGATATGAGAGATAGTGAGAGACGGTAGATGGTGAGAGATAATGAGACATATTACACGGTGAGAGACATTGAAATACGAGAGATGGTGAGAGACATTAAAGTTTGTATTATGGTTAGGTTAGGATTAAGTTAGCGTTAGGTTAGGTTGGGTTAGATTAGCGTTAAGTTAGGTTAGGTTGGATTAGCGTTAGGTTAGGTTAAGTTAGGCTAGCTTAGTCTTAAAGGTGAAATTAGCAGAGAGGTGTCCTAATCTTCACGTGATCCTATCAGTTTATCTTCAGCACAGGTTAAAATTCACACAAGCTAAAAATTCATGTTAGTTTTTACAGAGTTTAAACCTTCAGGCGGGGAAGCCATAACCTGAAGCTCAACTTATCCTTCCTCCCCAAAAAAAAAAATCCTGACTAATTTAACATTATCATATTTATGTTTATATTATGTGAATACTGGGAAGGTATTTTACGAGCCATTGAGCCATAAACCTTCTCATCTGTCATGGCTTCTGACGTCAACCCCTCCCTGACGAAGAGGTGAACGAGATGGTTAACCTGAGCCTCTGTGACCTCTAATGGTTGTTTTTCCTGTCCTGTTGGTGATGGTGGGGGGGTGTAGGAGACAGCATGGCGGAAGGAGAAAGGGAAGGAGGGAGGAAGGAAAGGAGGAAGACAGGAGGAAGGATGGAGAAAGGGAAGGAGGGAGGAAGACAGGAGGAAGGAAGGGAAGAGGGTAGAGGGAGGAAGACAGGAGGAAGGAAGGGTAGAGGGTAGAGGAAGGAAGACAGGAGGAAGGAAGGGTAGAGGGAGGGAAGAGGGTGTATCAAATTGTCTTCCTAACCCTTGTGTTTTCTTTACACCTCATAACCTAACCTAACCTAACTTGAATTCTGTCTACTCGTCACGTCTCCCGTCACCGGACAGAGTCAAAAGGTCTTTTCTCTGTCACTAAAAGGTCATCCATTAGGCTTACCTCCGCCCCCCCCCCTTCCCCCTCCTAGCTGGACGTGAGCCGCCTCCCTGCTGAAGGACGTAGTTGAATGAGTGTGTGTAAGTGGAATTATTTTTACCATCTATCTGTCTGTCTATCTGTCTGTCTGTCTGTTCCTCCCTTCTTCCCTCTCCCCCATTTTTCTTTATCTCTCCTTTTCCATCGACGCTTTAACTCTATAAGTGGAATAATTACCTTTTATTCCATCTCCT